TGTAACATTCTAATTAATAACTAATACAACAACCACAACAACAAAATGACATCAACATTAACAACATTACACTCCACAACAAGACTAGCAAAAATTATAACAATAACTAAACAAGCAAAACTCGATCAACAACAACGACAATAATATCAGCAACGTCAATTACCACAACAAAAACAACACAAACAGACATTAATATTAGCTAAAACAGCTGCAACAGCAATCAACAACACCAGCATTAACAAAAAACATCAACAACGTTAATTATAGCTACTTCTGTAAAATTTAATTAACTTACAGTAACATCAACAAAGACACAAATTGCAAAAATTAATTGCAAGACATCAATTACAACAACAACAACACCAGCAACAACAACATCAATAACAACAAAAACAACTTCAACAACAAATAAATCAGATGACATGAACGAGAATTGATTAATTTAAATGCTTGCATAGGTGATCAATTGATTCGCGTTTTCAATGCATCCATTCGTTGCTAGGCAACTTAACTGATGGGTTTGAGTTTTTTTTGTTGATGTTATTAATGTTGTTGTTGTTTATGTTGTTGTTGGTGGGGATGGGGGTAGAAGTATTTTTCGTGCTTTTGTGTTGTTGCTGTTAGCTGGTGTGAGTTTTTTTTATTTTTATCCTTTTCTTTGTTGTTGTTGCTGTAGATGGCAGTTGTTGGTGTTGTTTTCATGAGTTTTTTTTATAACTTAATTCATTAGTTTGCTTGTTAATTTTTAATTTTGTTTTTTTTTGTTGATTTTGGTTAATTTGCATCTGGTATATTCGAATATTGAAGCTATTAAAAGTGGTTATAAAAATTTCATTATGTTGTTGTTCATATTTTAATATTGTTATTACGTTGTTTTCACGTTCTGATTTAGTTTTTGACAGTTCTGTCTCGTTTTTGCTCTGCTTCATTCAATCCTCACTGTCGAAACATTTTTCTTCGTTTAAACATTTTGCTGATTTGAACAAAAAAATTTTAATTATAGAAATTTAATTTAATTTCTGACACTAATGACGATTGAATTTGAAAAAATTTAATGGTCTCTAAAAATGAAGTTTCAAAAAGCATTACTTTAATTAACCTTTCTCTATAAGTAAGGATTGTTCTTGCTGCTGTTTGCTGCTACTGCTTTTGTCGCCAGGAAAAGATTCGAATTGATGATGAAGATGATGATGATGATGATGAAGACAATGACGAAGAAGAAGATGTTGGTGTTGGTAGTGGTGGTGATGAATTTTCTGCTTTTTCGTTTTTGTATTTGTTGTTTTTAATGATGAAGAGGATGAGGATGATAAAGAAAAGGATGTTGGTGGTCGTGATGATGAATTTTCTGCTTTTTCGTTTTTGTATTTGTTGTTGTTAATGTGATTAGTGTTAATGTTTCGCCTCATAATGTTTCTGATTTCATATGTGATGTTTTGGCATCTTTAACTACATCAATAATTTCATAGGAGGATGTTATGTTATTGCTGTGTGAGCTGTTGATTTTCATTAACGGTTGTTACATTTCGTCATAATGTCGTGTTGAACATTTTAATAAAGCTGTTGTTGTTGTGCTGGACTGAGTTTGGAGCTGCTACGTAGGTTGTTGTTGTTGATGTTATTGTTGGTGTTGTTTTGGATGTTGCTGCTGGTTGTAGTGATGTAGATGTTGGTGCTGTTGTTGTGGATGCTATTAACGTTGTTGTTGTTGTGGATGCTGTGTTGTTGTTGATTGTTTTTGTTGTTGTGGATGTTGTGTTGTTGTGCGTGCATGCAACTTTTTGGTTGTTAGCATTTTTGTCCATGCATGATTTTAAATTACTGATTACTCTTCTGACTTTTTTTACATTCGCATTTCATTCCGATTGCAATTAACTTTATTGCTCTTGTTATTTAGTGTGCTTTTGATGGGCAGCAACGTTAGCATTAGCAGGGATTCACTACTATGTTACAGAAATAAGCTGTTGTCGTCGATGTTGTTGTCGCTGGTGTGGCTACTGCCGCTGGTGTGGCCACTGCTGCTGATGTAGCTGCTACCATTTCTGCTAGTAATTGTGTTTTTGATCATTATGTCTTCTTATTGATTGTTACTGGTGCTGTTGATGATGTTGCTGATTTTTTTTTTGTGATTTTTTTAAGACCCGGCTTTTTCAATACGCTATTTTTGTATGTTGTTTATATACGTGATGCTTTATAGAGCTCAGAGTGCATTAGAGCGCTGAATAACAAGAGCAAAAATAATAACAGTAATAAGAATGAGAAGAATGATAATAAGAGTTTGGAAAAAGAGGTTATAAATTCCGTTAATGAGTTCTGTAGTAATGTGATGATGATGAAAATAATAATAGATTGATGGTGATAACGATAATGATTCTGATAAGGAAATCCATGATGATGATGATGATGATGATGATGATGATGATGATGATGATGATGCTGATGCTGATGATGATGATGATGATGATGACGATGGTGCTGATGACGATGATGATGAAAAAGATGATGAGGAAGAGGAGGACAATGATAATGACGTTGATTATTATGACAATAATTCACTTGTTATCGCAAGATTTTGCTCTGGTGACGTCATACTGTTGCTGTTGTTGTTGTTGTTGTTGTTTTTGTTGTTGTAACCCCAGATTGCATCTAAAATAATTGACGAGGGGTCGGTCATAAATGACAATGATGATGTTAAACTTGTAATGGCTGAGTTAGTCGTTTTTATTTTTGACGACGATGATGTTGCTGTTGATGTTGATTATGTGTCGTTTTTGTTGTTGGTTAGTCGTTGTTTTGTTGTTGTTGTTGATTTTGTTACGAGGGTAGCTCAGAAGAATGCATTTAAAACGCGAGGAATCAATTATTAAAACTAAGGCAGGGCTATGTTATATTAACTGATAAAACCGTCCACAATAATAAATACTTCATGGAGTTGCTTTTTGAGGTCCAGATTTTGAATCAAGAACGTAAGAATGCAATTAAATTATTTTACACTATTCACAATATTTTAAGTCACATTTGAAAAGATGTTCACCTTTCAATTTCATCTTCACCAATCTGTTTATCAGGTTAAGTTAAAAGCCTGGTCTCTTAAAATTTGCTATATATGCAATGCAGATGACAGAACGATATTGGTGTGCAGTGTGGAGTAGGCCAAACTCGGCAGAACCTGTCAACTTACGTTCTTGGTATTCTAGAGTTGAATCTATCCAACACCATTGTATCCGCTGTATTAATAATTGAAATAGGAAAAAGTATATGGAATTTAGAATACGAAAGTATACTAAATTTGAAAGATTGTAGGTTATATAAACATATGCAAGTAGGAAAGTTTTGTCCAAAAACATTTCATCTCTGCTTTGATTTAATCTTCACTAACTTAACATGCGATGAAAGCATTTTTGGCTGACGATGTCTTTTGAATATTGTAAAACTTGCTTTGTTGTCATCTTAGTCTAATTTTCAAACGGCGGAAGAGTTTGCTTGAAGTTCAAAGTTTTGCAAGTTGGATACCTCAATACACGTTAAATTATTTAAATGAGTTCCACATTAAATCCGTCCAGATTATTTAGAGTTTTTTTTTATAGATTTGTTAAATTTTTTTTCATTTTGAAAATGAACGGTGGTGATTCTTGAAAACAAATCAATCGATGCCATTTTTTTCATTTTCTAAGTTTTTTATAATTTTTTATTTTCCGAGAAAAATTAGAACTGATGATGCAGACGTGGATTAGTCATTGTTGTCAGAATAGTTGATCAGTACCTTGGGAGGCCAATGAATTCAAAACACAATACTCCCTTTAATTGACATGCCAATATTCTGAAAGTTGTATGAAGCAATTTCTGCGTGATTATTTTTTTGTCAAACTAGTTGGTGCGCAAAATAAATGATTGGTTGCTTGGTGTGTGTGTGCGTGTGTGCGGGTGCGTGTTGTGTGTGAGAAAGAGTGTGTAATGGTAATGGTAATTCTCAACAATTTGTGTTGTTATGCACATTTTGTTGAAATTTTTGGTTCACACAATAAAAAAGTTCATTGCTAAATAACTACGAAATTTTCCACTGTTCCAAATTGAATTTTTTCTTATTTTAAACAAAGATTTCCTTTAAGAAAATTCTAAAACACGATAAACTTGAAAAACCAACAGAATTTAAGCTGCGGAAAAAATTTTAATTAAAAAAAAGGTAGTTGAAAAGAAAAAAAATTAGAAACTAATTAAAAGATAGGATGGAGGCAATGAATATGTAAATGACATTAAAATTCGCCAGCTTTCCGAATAGTTGCGACTAAAATTTTTTAACAAACCTCTGCGTTTTTTATTTCGCAAAATCTTTATAAAATTTAATTTATCAAATGTTTTAACGGGAAAACTTATTTTAGCAAAGAGATAATATGTAACATTGTGATTTTTTTTGAAAATAAAAGTTGTATATGGATCGCTAAATAAAAACAAAAATCATTCTTTTAAGTAATTAAACTTTAACAAGCAATTTCAAAACGTCATTCAATAACGAGCACATTTGTCAACTTGCACTTACGATGACGACACGTAGTTGTTTGTTCTACAATATTTTTTAACTATTCCTTTCTAAAAAAAAAACAACTGTAGAACTTTAAAAATGATTTCTCTAAATATATTTCATAGTTGCTGTAGAAATTATATTGTATGTTGCGTATTTCAAAATAGTCCATTAAGTTAATAATATTAAAGCATAAAACAAATTATTAACATTCACTTGACTAGCATTTAAATTGAAGAAGAATAAAGACAATATATAGTTGCGAACATTCAAATGTCAGCGTCTCTTGTGAAAAGTGAAAAATGTATTATATGTAAAGGACACCACTTTGCACGCCAAGCAAGGAAATGGCGTTACCCATCCTTATGGAATGATCACCGCCGTCAAAAAAAGCTTCAAAGTTTGAAATTTTTAACATAAAAATTGAAAAATGAAAAAAAAACAAAAACAAAGAGAATATTGAATGCAGGTATTATGTGAGATGACTTCACTTACATCCTGTTTCGGATATGCCCCCAACATTTTTAAAGTCAGTGGATTTATAGAGATTCTGTCATACTTGATTAGCATGGTAAAAGCGGTTTTCACCTTTTATACAATTAAACAATTTTTATAACTTTGGTCTCTACTTATTTTATACATTTTAATTAAAAAAATTCAAATTTTCAAGTAATTTTTTTAATTTTTCAACGAAAAACGTTGACTCAAGTTTTGACAAGTAGTAAGAATTGACAACTAAATTTTCAACAAAATTAAAATGGTAGGAATTTTATTTTTTTTTATCCTGAAAGAAAATTTGTTGTCAGTTGCCAGATTTTACTTGTTGAACAATTTCTATATGAAATTTTGCAGAAAGTACTGCCACATGTGGGTGGTGTTTGTACTGTGATGCAACATTTACAGCATTCAGTTCATATCAATGTGCAATTTCAGTTGAAGTTTACATCTAATTAGCGATTGGCAATCTTTCAAAAAATGTTTCTGTGGTTTAGCGTCTGAAATGTTGATATATACATACATATATATATATATATATATATATATATATATATATATATATATATATATATATGTATATTTTTACATACATATTACCAAAATTTTTACAATATTCTATTAATTCTAGAATTTATAGAATATTGTAAATATATATATACATACATATATATGTGTATATATATATGTGTATATATATATATATATATCATTTATATTATGATGGTGTTTGTATCCTTATTTATAATTAGAAAAAGATTACAACGATGCTAATTAAGATTACTTGAAGAACAAAAACTAGCTAAGAAATTAATGTGATAAGAACAAAATTATTTTGAATTTTCATTGTCGTTGACAGCAGCCATTAATCGCCATGAGCTCAATTTGCATCAGGGATAGATGAGACGCACGATGAAAATGTGAAATTACGTACGAACTTGCATTGTTCATTACAGATTGATTATTTTTCGCGGCGATTATTTTCCAAAAGCGCATTTTCGAGCGCGGTAAATTATACGGAACATATTTTTGCAATTAATGACGCAGAGGCGAGCGAAGTCACCGCAGTGGCATCTACTAACAAACTGCAACGCATAATAACGAACAACTAAACGAATTACATCAGGCGAGTTTGTTGATTTATATTTTCGCGCGCCAAATTATCATATTTATTAGGCCTAGGCTTCTCCTCTCTATGATGTCTTCCGTTACACGGGTTCTGCCTGCCTGCAGTCGTAAAATTGCTGACTCCATGACGGCTTGCATCTAATCATGCATACGCTCACAATACATCACAACTCCACGCTCCCGCTCTTTCTGCTCCTCTTCCGATAAGCACGATTTACTCTTATTTTCACACGTTCTTTTGTTTCCCGTGTTTGTGTTTTTTCGTTTTTTCTAGTGTTGTTGTTGATATCGTCAATGCATTGTTTCGAATGCTCGATAGAATTTTTCAATTTTTTCGATTAATTTTCACGTAAACATTTTTGTCACCTTGACTTCGAATTTAGAAAAATTTTATAAATCTAATAAAAGTTATTAATTTCATGAAAACTTTCGACAGTGTCTGACACGACTCCGGAGCACACGGGCAGCTACTGCAACACGGACATTTTCAGAGCTCAATGTCCAGAAGGATGGGTGGTCATGATGACGTCAGCCTGGTACGGCAGGATGAAGATCGGCAAGTGCGTGAAGTTCCAGATAGGATCAGGCAGTTGCGGGAGAGACGTTCTTCTGCTTGTTGATCGCAGGTGTTCAGGCAAGCGAATGTGTGATATCAGAATTCCAGACGCCGAGTTGGAAAGCTCCAAACCCTGTGGCAAAGAGTTGAAAAATTATCTCGAAGCTAGTTATGTCTGCCTCAGAGGTTGGATCACTTTCTGAAAAAATTTTGATTGCTTTAAAAAATAAAAAAATTTAAAACAATACAATTTTTGCTAGATTTATAAAAAACTAACAAATGTGCCGCAGAGTGCAGAGTGCAGAACTATGGTTTTACATTAGCAATTTTACATAAATTGAGTAAATTAATTCAAATATTTGTTTCATTCAATGATTACAGCAGCAGTTTTTAATTTTTTTCATTGATTGAATTGTTTTAACATTACATCTAAACAATTGGCAAACTTTTCCACGCTTTTAGTCCAATAATAAAAATTAAAATAATATAACGATAAGGCTGTAGAAAGTTATTGAATGAAATTTAATAAATACGATTTGAAATTTCTGACCAAAACCTTCTATTAAATTATAATTTCATGAACTTATTGCCTTAACAACCTTGTAATCAGTCGAGACTGTGACCAGCGACGAATGCCAGTCAAGCACGAACCTGCAGGTCACTTTTGCGTCGGGTTACCTGGGCAGCATCATCAACTCTGACACTCCCCATTGCGACGGGGCATATCATCCTTGGGTAATCAAAGGTCAGCCCGGACAAAGGGTCAACCTGACACTTTATGACTTTGCCTTAGATGCTGCTACGTTCGTTGCTTCAAGTACGTCAAGTGGTGGTGCTGGTGGTGGTTATGTTAGCTCAAGACATGAAGATGATCACGGGAGAAATGCATCCTTCAGCAGGTTTTTTTTTATTACGGATTTGTTTTCATTTTCATAGGTGCGGTGTAAAACGCGAGCAACATTTTAAATTTCACTTGAAGTATCATTTTTAAAGGTTTCTGCAGGACAATTAATAAATCAAATATTTAATCAATTAGTTTATAAAGGCTATTTCCACGATGTTCAACAGCGCTCCTCAATGATTTTTGCAATAGATGAAGAAGAAGTCAGAGAAGGAGTTAAAGAGTTCCAAAGAAAAATATAGAGTATAAATAGAAGAGGGCCAAGGATAGGACTCTGAGTTAGTCCAATAGAAAATGTTTGAAGCAAAAAAAATTGAATGCAGCAGGGCATGTGTTTAAAAAACCAAATTACGCAAATAAAATTTTAAATCCAAACGATATTTTCAGCGACTATAAAAACAAAATTGCATGAATAAACGGAAAACCAAAACGGTGAATATTAAAATAAATCTGAAATTAACCGATGAATGAAGTGGCGCATCCATCAATCAATGATGAGCAATTTTGATAGATTTTAAATAACGAAAAAGTTGCATGGAGGCGAGATATCATAATTAACATTAATTTGTTAGTAGGTGAACCGAATATTTTGGTGGTGTTTGCGCAGCACGTAAACAAACCATTTCGTGTTTGTTTCTAGTGAGAATGCTTGACAGATGTGCATTCATACAAAATACACGTGCACGTAGCGTGTATATTCAAATTCTACCGACACACATATTCGCAAGCGTACGTGTGTGTCTTCCTGAATATGTGCATGCATGTGTGTCCGTGTATCTTCACGCATATGTTTGTGCGTATAATCGTGTCTGCGCTGGCTGCCTGTCTGCGTCCACGGATGCGTCACATCACATGTTCTTTTCACTTTCACTGCCATCATCATCATCGTCACCCTTTGTTTTTGTTGGACTTCAAATTAACGTCGTGCTGGCGACAGAGGCGGCACTCGTCCTTTCAAGCATTTCACGACGTCATCAGCCCTCCACTTTCATCATAACAAAATCTTCAAACAATTTTTCTTTTTTTTTCTCCTCTTCCGATTTTCCTTTTCTATTTTTCATATGGAAGGAAAAAATTACAATGAAAAATTGCTAACAAATCCTTTCAAAAGTGGAGTATTTGCGTGATTAAAATGAAAATATTCATCCACATGAGTGTGAGTGACTGTCTGTGTTTGTGTCTGTCTGTCTGAGTGACAGCATGCGTTGTGTCTGTGTGGAAGAATGTGGTTGCCTGTGGTTATGTGTGGTTGCGTGTGGTTGTGTTTTGCTGTGTGCGGTAGTATCAGCGACGGAACTTAATGTATTTTTCAAATGCTGCTAAAAATTTAGGATTTGTTCAATGCTTGTATGAATTTCGGTGAACACGTTAAATTACTTCCTTCACAAACATTTTCAAATTACATCAAACTGATCGTCCTGGAGTCTTTGTAGGTACACGTTAATTACTGTGTGAGGTTGTGAGATGATGTAATGGTTCTATTGTCTGATCATAAGTGGCCGTGTTTGAATTCATAGATGTCCCTACCAACCTACTAACATACCAACCTACCTACCTACCTACCTACCTACCTACCTACCTACCTACCTACCTACCTACCTACCTACCTACCTACCTACCTACCTACCTACCTACCCACCCACCTACCTACCTACCTACCTACCTGCTTACCAACCTACCTACATTTACTTCCTACCCCTACCTACCTACCCAGTAAAAACACCGGCACCAATGTATTTGAACGTTGCTAAGATCATTATGTTTTTATTGCGAGTGCAACTCCGCCGACAACAAAGGACAACTTTTGTCGTGCGGTTAGTCGTAACTAGAAGTCTGATTCAATTATTTTTTAATTCAAAAGTTGCTTCTTGTTGTTGCGGCGCTTATCTGTTCTTACGTGTGCTCAATCCATGCACTGCCCAATCATGCAAATAATAAATGTTCTCTAAAAATTTTTCACACGGTTGTACCTAACTATAATTTTTCTGTTCAATTATTATAAAAACAGCATCATAACTGTTTTCACCATATGCACATTTTTTAAAAAACGCGTGATTTTGATTGGTAGATATGGTAGAACCATGAAACACTGACCGAAATGATGAAGTTCAAATATGTCTTCAGCGTTGCTCTTCGGTTCCAAACAATTGTCTTTCAACGTTAAAAACCGTAAACTGTTCACTACCGATATAAGGTACAACACTGCAGCAATAACGGTGCTGATGAGAATACGAATGATGGTGGTTAGGGTTATACAAACAAAAACTGCGTTAATCGCGTTGATATCACCAGCGACCAAATGACTACCAGCCCACACGACTGACAACGGAAACGCACACGAGCGACAGCAAGCCGCTATAACATACAATCGCCTGCCAGATGGAGGACTGGACAAAACAAAAGACGCAACATCAGAGCTGCGATGTTAGATTCATAAGATGATTAATGGTGCACAAGAAGTCTAAAAGAGGCGTGCTAGAACTGGCACTTGATGTTAAACAGGTTCCATCTGACCTCATATAATTGATATCTATATGTTTACGAGCTCCTTTGTGTCAGAACATCTCCTATTATTGAACTATATCGCAGACGTTGATTTGCTTTATTTCAACATTTCTATAACTATTACTTTTTCTGAAAAACGAGCAACAACATTATTATTGTTCTCGTAATAGCCTGTACTGCATGCAAAGCAAATGAATTCTTTCATGTCCAGAAGAGTGAAGTGCAATTCTGATGGTGTTAATTGCAGTTCACAATTCGCACTTATACGAACGGCATGTGTACTATAACTACTGAATTCAATTAAAACTACTTAGTATACGTTCAGGTAATATTGAAAATTTTAATTATTTTTTAAATTATTAAATAATTCAAATGTGGCATATTAATATGTCTAGTGACACATTTTGTAATATTTTAATATTACATTTGTTTATTAAGCATTATTTTTTCATTCCAATGTAGATCCCATTCTTAATATAGGTAAAAATGAAAATTGACAAATAATTTGGTTAAAAAGTGAAATCATTATTCATTTAAGCTAGATTGTTAATAAGTTTTCAACATCCATTTATATAACAAATGGCATTTTCCTATAATGAACTCTTTTTTCACAAACCTCGTTATCTCTGAATCATCTATAATGTAATAAATCAATCATTTTAAACAAAGATGCCTGCTTGAATTAATGAACTCTCATGAAAAAAAAACTTGCTTCAGAGACTTATTATTTTTTAAAAATAACTTCAAACGAGCCAACTCCACTCTTTTTCAGAATTAATTAAACGACGCCTTTGATTATCTGCGGGTTGATGAATTTTACTGAAATTTCTGTTAAAATTTAATGTTGATGGTAATGATTCTATCTTTATTAAGAATATAGTTGAAACTTTAAAAAATATCAGTCAACTTAATTTCACTGTTCACCGTGTGAGTCAATCGATTGATGGCTTAAAACACGACTTCTTCAATTTCTTAAAACAAATTCTTAAAATTGAATTCATAATTTATAATAAAAACGAACAATTTAGCAAATTTCGAACATTCCAGGTTTCCGTCAGGACAGCTGCTGCCAGGAAACAAGCATTCCACCTCATCATTATCATCATTCCAGTTATCATTACCACCACCATCATCGTCGTCGTCGTTGTTGCCATCATCATCTTTTTCCTCTTCGTCATCCTCATCTCAATATTGTGTGAAGTACGGATTGATTGAGGATGGAGATGTGAGGAAGGAAATCTGCGGTGGGCATCTGAGGGTCAGACACCTGCACTACTCGGAACATTCCCTAATCAAGGTGCGCCTGACTGCTGGATCTGCCCCGACAGATCTCAAGAGATACGTTATCAAATACGAAGGTAACGTAATGATGTAGTCTTCTGCTGCTGTATTGGTGTGTTGGTGTCAATGTATATTTTTGAGTTGTTGTAACTTGTGTTTTAGGTTTAAACATTACGTCGATATTTCTTCACAAAGTTATGTCAGGTTTCGTTGCTGATAATGTGTTGTGGTAGTCATAGCGTTGTTGTTGTCGTTGTTGTTTTTAAAAAGTAATATTAATTTTCAACGTGAATGCGTTTTTGTTTACGTTGGCTATTTTCAAATTTTACCGTGACAAATTTTTTTTTAATTAAAACGAAGAAGCGAACGGAAGTGGAATGAAGGTAGGTGACCGGAAAATGCTCATAGCACTCACCGGAATGTAATAATGTTTTTCTACATTTCCTTCAAACTTCCACTGTATATGTTTGCATGTATGTGTTGTACGGGTGCGTTTGTATTGTGTATATGCGTGTGTATTGAGTATTATATATGCATGTGTGTTGTGCTTGTGTATTGTGTGAGTATTATATATGTATGCATGCTGTGCGTGTGTGTATTGTATGTGTGTGTTTTTATTGAATACGTTTGTATGTATAGTATACAACACATACACTACACACATACGTGTGTATGTGTTGTATGAGTGTGTATTGTGTGTGGGTGTGTTGTATGTATGTGTGTGTGTCTGTGTGTGTATTGTGTACGTATTTTATGTGTATTTATTGTATATGTTTGTGTGTATTGCATATATACGTATGTGTGAGTAATCTTGCGTAGTGTGATGTTGAATGAATGGAAAGAGTTATGGTTTTTAAATGTGGCAAACTGCTGAAAAATATTATAATATATTTGCAATATTTATTCACCGACAATATTTATAGATTAATTAGAACAAAGGCTGTGAAATTTCCAATGGCCAAATAAAACTTACACAAAATAATTCAAATAAAACACAATCTTTTTAACAATAATTTTTCATTTACTAATAATGTTGCACTTTTTTTTCTTGCTGTAATGATCAGTCACTCCCAGCGGCGAATAGACAGGGGGCTAGATCTGTTGTCTAGATCCGCCACAGGATCGCTCGGGTAACCTGCTACAACATCTTTCTTCATTTGATTAATTGCTTTTTGCATCAAATTGATTCAATTCATTTCTACTGTTTGACCGTACGTCGGTATGTGTGTGTGTGCGTGTTCGTGTGTGTGTGTGTGTGTGTGTGTACGTGTTCGTGTGTGTGTGTGTGTACGTGTTCATGTGTGTGTGTGTGTGTGTGTGTGTACGTGTTCGTGTGTGTGTACGTGTTCATGTGTGTGTGTGTGTGTGTGTGTGTGTGTGTGTGTGTGTGTGTGTGTGTGTGTGTGTGTGTGGCTGTGTAACCTAATTTTGCGATCAAAAGCAAATATTAATTTGTCTACGTTAAGTTATTCCTTCATTTGTAAGTTGGCGATTAATTTATCAACAAAAATGTTTGATGTTCTTTCATTCAATTTTGTTTGTTACTTCCAATAAGTTTTGAATACTGTTTCAAAAGATTTTATGATATATTAAGAAAAAGTTTAATAAAGCTCGAAAGTTTTTTTATGGTATCGTCTTTTCAATTTTCGTTTTTTAATTAAAATTAGGCTTACTTTACAAAATAAAGTTTATGTGAAAATGTAAGAACTGTAAAAAGTAAAATGCCTGAAAGTGTATGATAAATAAAATAGATTAAAATGAAAGCATTATGATCGTTGCTAGAAATGTGGTGATTGAAAAGGAAAATATGATATTGGTCGGCAAGTAGCTCAGTCGGTAGGAGAGTCATGTCTCGTGCAGTTAAACGATGTCCTGGTTCAAACACTGTCTGCCCGAAACCAATGTGAACTCCACATATAATAATGATAATTATAATTGAAAGATGAGAATACGATAATTAGGCTCTAGTAAAAAATAAAAATATAATGAAGGAAAATAATGCTAGCTGGAAATGTAAATTTGGTGATGACGATGAAGATGATGATGGAAATTAAGACTACGTCGACATTAATGATGAGGTTGATAGCAATGATATTGGAAAATGGAATGTGATGATGTCGCTTTGCTTCGTTGCTGTGTATTTTTTATTTATTACCACGTGTAGAACATTACAAATATTTTTCTCTTTCATTGCCGTCCATCTATCATCATTCATCACTTCAGTTCATACTAGAAATATTTGCATAATTTTATTTGTCACTTGTCACGAATGAAATAGCTGAATATATATATATATATATATATATATATATATATATATATATATATATAAATAAATTGAATAAATTGGCATGTTTAATAAGAATGATATGAACAAAAACATACCATTGACACAGTTATTGGCTGCACCGATCCAACTCACATTCCGGAAAATGCTTGGTTCAAAAGAAAAACAATCATGCCAAAAGCGATTTCATCGTCATCATCATCATCATCGTTGTTCTCATCATTTTCTCCGTCAGCTTTATCGTCGTCTCCATCATCATCTGCATCGTCATCATCATCGTCATCATCTTCATCATCAGTTTTCCTTCCTTCCCATTCAGCCAATTTTAAATCATCACCGTCATCATCTTCGTTATCATCACCCAGCCAACCTGCATCTATTATATCATCATCGCCGATTTCATCATCAGACACTTCATCATCGTCGTCGTCTTCATCCTTTCCACCATCTTCATCATCGTCATCTTTAACATCATCACACTTTCCTTCTGACTTGATGCGGGATGTGGTGGTTTGGGGTTGCATGAATAGCACGCTGGAGCAACTGCAGGTTGAATGCTCCATGCGGACTGGCCTCTGGTTGGATTCCTCGTTCCAACATATTAACTGCACCATACGTTAGATCACTTTTTATTGTTCCCATTGTCTTTTATCCTCAGTTGGTGCCATTTTGTTGTTGTTGTTGTTGTTTGTGTTGTTGCTGCAGCGGTTTCTGTTGTTGTGGTGGTTGCTAGTGCTGTTGTTGTCGTGGTTGTTGTTTGCAGCTGTTGTTGTTTTTGTTATTTCGCTTTTGTTGTTGTTATTGTTGTTGTTGTTGTTGTTATTGTTTTTGTTATTTTGTTGTTGTTGTTGATGCCATTAAGTAAGTGGATATTACCATCTTCTTGTCATATCAAAGTTTATGTGTGTGTCATCAATTGAGTGTGTTTTACTGAGTGAGTTGATGTGGAGTCATTAATTAACAGTTATTGTCATTATGGTAAATTAGCAATCCTTACCATTTCTGTTTAAAATAGTTTTTACTTATCATTTTTACTTATTATTTATGTTTGCGTTTGATTATTTTTCGAAAATAAATATGACATGTTTCATTACTGTAGTTTTTCTATAATGATTTAATTTTGCAGTTTTCATAGTTCAGTTAATTTAAAAATCGTTTTTTTTAAAAACATTAACATCAACTTTATTAGTAACATTAACAAAAACATGAACAATAACGATTTTCAAACATCAGCATAAAATCAAAATAAACGACTTGAAAACATTAACAAGAAAATAACAACAACACGAATAACATGACAACAGCATTAATAGATGTTCTTATGAGCGCGGAGTTGGACATGTCGTTACGTCATTCGAACAAGAAGGCACGTGACAACAAGGAGAACAACAACAGCAACTCATTGTGGAAGAACAAACGTTAGTACTATTTAGCAAATCAGTTTCAGTGCAGTCAACTAGATGCCACGTTGTGTATGTGTCCTTTCCTTTGTGTGTGTGTGTGTGTTTTGTGCAATTATATAAAAATGTGTGTAATTGTGTGTGTTTTAGCATTTATGAATGTGCGTACGTGTGTAAGTGGTTTGGTGTGCATTTGTGGGCGTATTTATAGATTTGCGTGTGTTTGTGTGGTTGTGTGTATTTAAAAAAAGTATTAAAATTTCTTTCCATCTTTCCCTCTCTCTCTCTCTCTCTCTCGCTCTTTTTTTTCTCTCTCTTTCTGTGTGTGTGTATATGTGCAAGTATGCTAGTTTATGTGGTGCATGTGTTTTGTTTGAGTCTGCTTGTGTGTAAATTCATGTGTAAATGTATGTGCGTGTGAGTATATAAATGTGTGTGCGGCGCATACAGACGTACATATCTTCTGTGTTATCTTGGTGCGTGAGTCATTGTGTGATTTAATAATGAAGTTAATTTGATGTCTCCGTTTATATGCGATCGAGGAATCATTTTGTTAACAAGATTCAAAGTTGAACATTTGAACTTTTATGTCTAGCACATCGCTGATGGGATTGTTTGAGGAGTAATGTTAAATCGAATAGTTAACCAATTTTGTTCCCTAAATTAAAACGTCCAATAAAACATGTAGCAACATGAGCAACATTTTCAACGAAATTATTCCGATTCAATAAAAGACAAAAAAATAACAGTTCGTGGTTTATTTGAAAAACTAAGGTGTTGATGGTATAGATAGATCTTAAATTTACTTAACGAATAATTATTTGCTCAATTTAAAGAAATAAATAATACAATGAATGAATAAAATTTAAAATATTTGTCATTAATATAAAATATATGTAATAATGTGGTTAATATAAACAATAAAAATAATATAAAGAATATAAATACATGCGATGTACGTGTACAGTACATACACATACGTGCCTACACATGCAGTACCTACACAATACACATACGGTACAGTACCTACATATACGTGCGTATCTCAACAATTTTTTATGCATCTGGATTTGACAATGCAAGATTAGGGTTGATTTCTTA